TAAAAACATCAGGTTTGGAATTTCACAACTTTAAGTCTTCTAAATTGATAAACAACATTTCCTGCTATCACTTTTAGTTTTCAAGTTATTCACAATTTTGATGTTGAAATAGATAATTTTGATATTTTTCAGTTTTTGGATCTTATGTTGGTATTTATTTGATAAGTTTTTAACTCTTTTAAATTGGTAAACATTGATTTTGAGTGAAAATTGTTAACACTAATCAATTTTTGAGTTATTTTGACTTCTATTTTATGATGATCAGTTCCTTCTACCATATTTAGTTCTCAACTTTTTGGCGATTTTGATCTTAAAGAACCAAAAATCAAAAAATCTCATTTAGCCATTTTTTTAGATTAATTTAAACTTTTTTTGCTATGAAATTTATCTTCCCATCGCTTTTAGTTGTTAATTTATTATCGATTTTTACGTTGAAAACGCCACTTTAAAAAATTTCACGATCTTAACTCTTCTAAGTTGGTAATCATAAATTGTGAGTGAAAACTGTTATCTCTACACGATTGCTGGGCTCAGTTGACTTCTCTTTCATTTGAAACGTTTTTTCTTATCATTTTTACTTTACAACTTAATGGTGATTTTAATGTTCAAAACGTCAATAATGTTTTTCGGCTTTTGGTTCTTATGTTGTTAGTTATCAACAAATAGTATAATGTTCTATTAACTTTTTGCTATGAAACTTACTTTCCCATCGTTTTCATTTACTGATTTTGACGTTTAAACTGCAGATTTAATAATTTCACGTTTATAGCTCAGTTAAGTTATCTCATTTACTCATTTAACATGGTAAACATTGATTATGAGTGAAGACTATTAGCTGCGCGATTGTTAGGCTAATTCGGATTTATCTTCATTTGGAACATTTTTTTCCCATTAGTTCCAGTATTTAATTTATTGTAATATACTACTTTAGTATATATTATTTATTTTTATACTTAATTGCAAAAGCTTTCATAACATTTTATAATTTTAGCTACAATAGGAAACCTAAATATAGCTGTTTTATATACTTCAACTACATTTTGCTGTAATCAAGTCTAGATTGAAAGCATGATTGTGTCTCTGGCAAAATATTATTTTTATATATAAATATTATCAAGTAAATTCTGGATTAGTTTTTGCTTTGTCCTCTACTGCATGTTTACAATTTTTCCGGAAATTATTATTCATGATGATTATTCATGAGCGCAGGGCATATTTTGAGTCGCAATTGAACATCACAAATGATTGTTGGAAAGCATTGCGAAATACGGGAATATTTAAAAGAAAAAACATGTCAGTTCTACCTCACCTTGGGTCACCCAATGATATCAATAATCTTTCGCGTGGTGGAGGATATGGATGTGGAGCGTGCAATTAATTCAATTAAGAGCAATGCGCTTGGTCATGATCGTCTCAATATGAAATGCTTAAAATTGTGCTGTCCACATATATTACCTTATATTCGCGATACTATAAATGCGTGCATCGAAACATGTGTTTTTCCAATGACATGGAAGAAAGCCGTAATAAAACCGCTTTCCAAAATCTCTAAACCTACGGTACTTAGCGACCTGAGACCATTAGTATTCTGCCAGTATTAGCAAAGGTTGCAGAAAAAATTCTTTATGAACAAATGGTCTCCTTTGTGGAGGAGAATGACATACTACCACAGAACCAATCGGGTTTCAGACGGGGTTACAGTTGCACGACAGCATTGATACATATCATTGATGATATAATTCGCGAAACCGATAGAGGTAATTTAACAGTTCTTTGCCTACTAGATTATTCAAAGGCGTTCGATACGGTCAATCATGAGACAATGGCATCAATTTTGAGGTATTCCGGTTTTGATGATAAGTCTACCCGCTTATTATATGATTTTCTAACACATAGACAACAAGCCGTATTTATGGGTGATGAACAATCTGAATATCAATACACTAGTTCGGGCGTTCCTCAGGGTTCTATACTCTCGCCTTTGCTTTATGCTTTATATACATCAAACTTTAACCAAGGGGTTATGCATTGCAAGACCCATTTTTACGCCGACGACACGCAAATATACTATTCTATTCCGGCTCATGATATAAAACAGGCTTGTGTGCGAATTAATAGTGAGCTAGAATATTTGCGTATCACCTCAAGCCGACATGGACTTAAAATTAATCAGAAAAAATCAAACGTCTTACAAATTTGTGTAAATAACGAATTACTACCTATTCAAAAAACAGTAAAAAACGCCTATGCAAAAGTTTAGTACTATCAATGTTTAATTATGGCGATGCATTGTATGCACCCTTACTGTCCTATGCATTGAAGAGGAAAATTCAAAAGGTACAAAACACCTGTATCAGACTAATTTTTGGGTTGAAACGCAGAGATCACGTCAGCTGTAAGCTGNGATCCTTTGGAGTTAGAGAAGAGCAGCGTTTGATAGGGTGCGTGGGGGTAAAGGTTGAAGAAGACTAAGGTCTGACCTGAATTGCAGAGCTATATAAGAAGAAGAAATTGCCACAATGTCCTACGTATTGAAGAAGAAGGCGTTGCTGCTGTTATCATCGATACGTCTGGAGGGCGAAAACAAGAAGGCAGATGAAACGCCAGAAATAATTGAATATTATTAGCGCCTGTTGGCATGTTGGTCGCAAACTAGAAGATGGACCTTGAGTATATTTTTGTCATTTCTAAAGAAAACTGTTGGGAAAAATATGCATTTCTTAGGCTCGTTACTACCATCTTCTGGTTAAGCTATCTAAGGGATTATTACCATGGTTACGGCTATTTTACGCGCTCTCATTGGCTAGTAGATGGGTTTATCTATTAGATAAATTTAACTAAAAGATGGTAGTAACGAGCCTTAGTCTTCTAAATTGATAGATAACATTTCTTGCTATCACTTTTAGTTTTCAACTTATTCATGATTTTGATGTTGAAATCGATAATTTTGATATTTTTCAGTTTTTGGATCTTATGTTGGTAATTATTTGATAAGATTTTAAGTCTTTTAAATTAGTAAACGTTGATTTTGAGTGAAAATTGTTATCACTACTCAATTTTTGAGTTATTTTGACTTATATTTTATTATGAACAATTCCTTTTACCATATTTAGTTCTCAACTTTTTGGCGATTTTGATATTAAAGAACCAAAAATCGAAAAATCTCATTTAGCCATTTTATTAGATTAATTTAAACTTTTTTTCTATGAAATTTATCTTCTCATCGCTTTTAGTTATTAATTTATTATCGATTTTTACGTTGAAAACGCCACTTTTACAAATTTTACCATCTTAACCCTTCTAAGTTGGTAATCATAAATTGTGAGTGAAAACTATTATCTCTACACGATTTTTGGGCTCAGTTGACTTCTCTTTCATTTGAAACATTTTTTCCTTTTCAACTTAATGGTGATTTGAATGTTCAAAACGTCAATAATGTTTCTCGGCTTTTGGTTCTTATGTTGTTAGTTATCAACAAATAGTATAATGGTCTATTAGGATAATGTTCTTCTCAGGAGTTTTTCTAAATTAATTTAAAACTTTTTGCTATGAAACTTACTTTCCCATCGTTTTTATTACTGATTTAGGAAACCTAAATGTAGCTGTTTTATATACTTCAACTACATTTTGCTGTAATCAAATCTAGATTGATAGCATGATTGTGTCTCTGGCAAAATATTATATTTATATATAAATATTATCAGGTAAATTCTGGATTAGTTTTTGCTTTGTCCGCTACTCCATGTTTACAATTTTTCCGGAAATTATTAATCGCTTCTTTATTAATAGCCTTCTAAAAAACAGCATTCTAAGCAAAGATACTTAGCGTACTCAAATGATTCCTTGTTACATGCCTCATTGTAGATTAATGCAAGGAATTTATTTGGTCAGGTGAAATACTGCAGTTCAACAGTCATATTTACAATCATGGACTAGTTCAGAACTAATTGATTGCTTTAAAACTAATTTTCCGCCAGAATTATAAAACGTATTTTTGGCGAATTTGGCAGATCGTTAATATAAATTTAAAGCTTCTCCACGGAAGAAGGAAGATATATATATATATATATATATATTTCAGAAAATATTGCTTAGAAAATTATCAAAGCTGGTGAGACACCGAAATATAGAAGATAGACCAACATTTATTCATCACCTCGCCAACAATACAAGTACATCGATTATCGGTTCCAAAGTGTACTTTAAAATCAGTAGTAAATATAACATTTTTATCATAAAACTTAATAGTGATCATATTTAACACTATATTAGGATGATACACAATAATTCCTGTTAGATCCAAAATAATTTCTCTTGACTTGAGTGGTCATTGTCTGGCTATATTCAGAAAAATATCTATGTTCAGAAAAATTCAGTAAATTGATCTGAATTGGCTTTTACCTTCCATTTTCGCAAATAAGTGAAATATGCACATGTTCCGAAATAGCTATCAATTTTTCTCTATTAGTTCCTCATTTCTCCAAATATTGAGTTATTATTAACCTTTTCT